TTGAACCGACCCGATAGAGTGAAACAAGAGAGAACTCTAATGTAGGGCTTATCCGATAGACGAGAACGTTTTCTTTCCTTTCCTGTTTAATTTGTCTTTAAATGCAACAGAAGTCAGTAGGGTTGTATAAACTTAATGAAATCACTGAACGATTAGGTTTTGCTTACACAATTAGCAGACTTGGGGCCTACACTTAACGGGTTACCGTGGAGCTGTTCTCGGCTACTGTAGAACTCTCGTTTGTTATAGTATAACGATGCCCTGCGCAGCACAAATCGGGACAATAAATAACTAATTCCGGTTTAATTTAAACAAACTGGTATACGATTGCAGAGAAACACACACATGCGACATTACACAATAATGTCGGTGAGGTGTTCTGATGATACTGACTGTACAGTGTTCTGATGTCAGTGATACTGACGGTACAGTGTTCTGATGTCAGTGATACTGACTGTACAGTGTTCTGATGTCAGTGATACTGACTGTACAGTGTTCTGATGTCAGTGATACTGACTTACGGTGGTCTGATGTCAGTGAGACTGACTGTACAGTGTTCTGATGTCAATGATACTGACTGTACAGTGTTCTGATGTCAGTGATACTGACTGTACGGTGTTCTGATGTCAGTGATACTGTCTGTACAGTGTTCTGATGTCAGTGATACTGTCGGTACAGTGTTCTGATGTCAGTGATACTGTCTGTACAGTGTTCTGATGTCAGTGATACTGATGGTAAAGTGTTCTGATGTCAGTGATACTGACTGTACAGTGTTCTGATGTCAGTGATACTGTCTGTACAGTGTTCTGATGTCAGTGATATTGTCGGTACAGTGTTCTGATGTCAGTGATACTGTCTGTACAGTGTTCTGGTGTCAGTGATACTGACTGTACAGTGTTCTGATGTCAGTGATACTGACGGTACGGTGTTCTGATGTCAGTGATACTGATGGTAAAGTGTTCTGATGTCAGTGATACTGACGGTAAAGTGTTCTGATGTCAGTGATACTGACTGTACAGTGTTCTGATGTCAGTGTCAGTGGACGGAAATATTCAATTATCATTTCTCTGGTTTACCAACAACAACGCTAAATTAGTATGGATGGAGGGTTTGTTTATCACAGTGTTGGTCACACTTCCAATTCGTGAATCTCTCACCCGCTAGAAACCCGAGTCTTCTGTTATAAATATAGATACTGTACATGTACACTGCTTTCTAAGACCCGTGTAATTAAATAAGTGATGATTTTATATTTTGCATGGTGGGTTTAAGCTTTTTCCAACAACTTCATGTATTTCTCCAGCTAACAAATCCTTCGTCCTTTCTCCACTTCTGTTACACAGACACGCATTGTATCTATAGTTTTCGGAGCACTACAAATCCAGTGTACACTTTTACCTGCAGTAATAACTAGCGATTACACTGATGTCTTCTACTAGGAAGTCCTAGATATTTAAACAATTTTAATCCTTCATTTTTACTTTCAGTTAATACTTGCACATATGTGTTGTTGATATATATAAATCTGCATAAATTGACATAAAATTATCACTAAAGAACAAAACGGAATTTCTCCTCTATATCATTCCATAACACGACGAAAACCTCTGTTGTCGGTCGATATTCTAATCTTTACTCTCTCCTTCAAATAATCACTGACAATATATCGTAAATATCAATACACAGGTCCATTTTAAACAAAAATCTTCACAGATATAATTTTTGTCCTTGTGTAACGCGCCAAGAGACAAAATTGTCCGAAACATTCCTGTTTGAAAATATTACTACCAGTTATAACTCTTTTGTATCAATTTGTCAAGAAACATTATCTTCCGCATGTATCCCAAAATATATCACAACAAAATACAATTTGTCTTCAATTATCATAAGTCAATGTTCTATACATTCCAACAATTATTAATATTGAAAGGGGTCGGCATAGCTAAATCGGTTAGAGCGGTGCTCTATATACAAATGTACAACCTCAGCTGAAGAGCCGAGGTGCGTGGTTCGATTCTTTTTACATGAGAAACAGACCGGTCTGTGCTGACGATCGTGTGTCCATAGACAAGACACCTTACTCTAATTGCTTTGGATTGCATGTGATGTGTCTCCCATATGGTGTTCACTGATGTAGTCACCAGCTTCTTGAGGGAGATTCCGCCTCAAGATGACCATGGCTGTTCACTGGAGATAAACCCAAACAACAAACAATAGACAATATGTTGTAACTCTATGTTTTTGTCTGTATTACGTAATTTCATCCAATACTTGATAAATATACATTCACGACTCACTTCCATTTGTAATATTCCTAATTCAAAACAAACCATGCAATTTGGTAAAGTTTTACGGACCCTGAGCAGAGTTATGTCATTATTATCTAATTATTTGATTTTTTTTTTCTTTTCAAACCAATAAATCTTCGAAGTATATAGCAACTATAACGCCGTCGTATGCCCGTAGTCATCGCCATCGACCTTACCACAATTTCAGGAAACAGTCTCTTTCGTGTTATACGTATGGTCTCCCATAGTTTCTGCCATATCATCCGCTTACATCATACAAAAAAATGAGTTTTTAATGTCAATAGGGCAATTTTATCCATAAAAATACATTTTACAATCATTTGCCCTGTACCAATCCGTAATTACATACTGAACGTGGTACACAAGACATTAGTATGGACCTATTGTGTACCATATAAGTTGAAGATCCACGAAATCTTAAGTAGGGTACTTAAATTAGGTCAACGCGTGATGTGTGTTTCCTAAAATAAACCGATAGTTAAAATATGATTAAAAACTAACGTACATGTCATATGGTAAGTAATGGAGGATGAGCCTCAATTATCACCGTCATCATTAACATGGTGCAAATCTGCTCTACAAAGATTTACAGTCTTAATGAAACTCGGGACATTCTACAGTAATTCATATCTATTGATAAACCTTTCGTTTAACATACATTCGGTTTTCGTTGATTCGTTAGAAATTAAAAGCAGTATTTTTTTTTTTTTTGCTTTTTTAAACTTTCTGATCTAAATCAATGACAGATATATCTGAACTAGTCTTACCACTTAAAAATTCAAACCCTTTTCCGCTTACACTAAGCACTTAAGCCGCCAGTTGTGGGCTGAACAATCATCTACAGTTAACTCGCATTTTGAAAGTTCTTACTTTCCCAAACATTTTATTAATTTGTTTAATCTATATTGCACCTGACAATATATATTTCTTTGATTTACCAATAAACTACGATTTTCTGCTGATCTCAAACAGATAGAAACATTTCAAGGCAGATATGTTCTGTGGTATTGCTTGTTTTTCCTGATAAATATGTATTTGTAACATTAGAGAACAAAGTGGTTGAACAATATAATTCAATTTTGTTGTCAAATTCTAATGTCTGTATCAACATATTCTGACTACAATTATCAATATCACATGTAATAACAGAATTCACGTTCTCTTTTTCCGGTTAGCCTCATTTCGAACATACGTTACCTAACCAATATAATCGTAAGATATTTTAAGAGAAATATGTAAATGATTAATGGTCAGATAAAATATTTAAAAAATCCTGATTTGGAATTCAGTAACATTAAATACTGTCCACTGTCCGGTAACGGGTGATTTATTTGATCCCGTGTTATTAACAGGTAGTTTATGTGCTATTAACAGGTAGTGTTTCAGATCATGTGCTATTAACAGGTAGTGTTTCAGATACTGTGTTATGAACAGGTAGTTTATCAGATCATGTGCTGTTAACAGGTAGACTATCAGATCTTGTGTTATTAACAAGTAGTGTTTCAGATTTTGTGTTATTAAGAGGTAGACCGTCAGATCATGTTATTAAGAGGTAGTTTTCAGATCATGTGTTATTATCCAGAGTTATCAACTATCGCCGGAACTGGTCGACAGCTTCATCTTCATTACAACGCACCTGTATATTGATATCTAGGACATAACTATTTTATAGCGATAACAGTATGATCACTAAATCTATTGTTACTTAATATCACACATATCACTGGTGTTCAAATCACCTATGTATAATTAGAATACATTCGCTGTACAGACTAATCAAACATTCTTAATCAAAACAAAACAAAATTATAAACATCTTTACCATCTACAAATAGACGCCCTGATACTGTAGTTCTTGTTATACAACACTGTGTTCAGTTCGAGTGATCAATACACACGATATCATATTATTTCCTATAAAAACAGGTAACGTTATACCTCCGCCGCTACTACTGCCCCTTGAAAATATCTTTAGGAAAATGCATTTAAAAAAGTATAATAGACAGTTATCAATCCGAGTGGTTTTAGGCAATATTTTCGTTTTAATAAAGGTAAAAAATCTCCTGAAATCCCTTTGCTTTTTATTAGAAACTGCTCAGTTTTTGGTTTTCTTTTTTTTTCATTTATTTTGTTTTGAAATTCTTTTGTTGTATTTTCCATTAGATTTTTTGTTTTGTTTTATGTGTTTTAATCTAGCATAAGAAACGCACCCGTTGTGTTTTCATCTGTTTTTTAAATAGCATTTGTATTAAAACGGAGAGCGTACGCGTTGGACCAAGAGTATCCAACGGGAGGTAACTCCAATATCATTAAACATAATATCGCGTTTGTAAGCCGCTTTTCATGGACTAAATATATGAATTAATAGGATGATATTGACAGAAATGGTCAAATGTACATAATATGTTAACTACGTGGATATTTCGTGTAAAGAAACTTAAATTTACGTTTCGTTTAAATGTGTTTATGGTTTCCACACATTAGTATAAACTCCGTGTGAACTCACAAATTGAAGGTAAAAATTAATTTTCGCAAGCAACAATATTATTTGTTTTGTAAATATGTAAATATGATTTTTAGCCCTTTATACGCCACAACTAAGATAGATTTTAGTTAATTGGTTTATTTTAATTGAAGTTTTATCAATTTATCGCAATTTTCTGTTATTTTGAATCACTGATCTATTTTTAGATTGCTGAAACTTACGCGTTCTTGCCCCGAGAAGCGGTGACACGATTCCTCATGTCATGTTCTGACTGTCAAAAGCGCATGCATCTTGGAACGGAAAACACAGCTCCTGTCGAGGAACTCCAAACAAACGGGGTCCCGAATAACAACGAAAAAGAATTTCTGAACACTTCGCCAATCATCGATTTCAACGTACCAATCACTCAAACATATCTAAATCAGATGCGAAACAGAGGCTATTTTTCCGAGTTCAACTTCAACGATGATGTAAGTAGATTTTTTTACTTAGATACCATGAGGTGAACATGTGTATTTTATGTAGTTGACGATTACTTACGTTGTTTTTTTCAATATTTGTAATATACCTGATTGCTTGGTTGTCTTATGTATTCATTTGAAGCATTATAGCTCATAAGTTTTACAGTAAAATACGTAAGGGTGCAATATACATGTACAATATAAGGCTATCATACATTATACCATAATACAAAACGTTCAGATATTTTATTAAAATAAACCTACATTGTATAAAAAAGAGACAGACTGGCGGACAGCTGAGTACACATAAGAGTACAAAAGTATAATAGAAGGACAATCATTATTTGAATAGTGCCGGACAATATCATTTTTCAGGAGATAGTTAGCAGAAGATGCGTGATAATTAAACAACACATATAAGGCTTGAAATATTGAACATAGTGATAAACTTAACTGATTTAACTTAATCATTTCGCATACAGTGAAATTTCATTTCAACAGTCTCATTGTGTAATGTAATGTAATGTAATTGTAATTGTAATACATTGTAATATAATGTAATGTAATCTAATTTAAATACAATGTAATTTAATGTAAGGTTCTTACAGCCCAAAAGTGTTAAATCTGAAAACAGTATACAACAGTACACAATATGCAGTTTTAAGAACAGTATTATAAAGTTCAGTATAATTAATAAACTATATTATACGAAATTTATATACAGATTGATTGACAAACATTTGAGCACTAGATTTACAAATGAGGATGGACAACATGTGGAATTATTATAATTTGAAATGATATTAAGCATATCCCGAAAGACACGAATATGACAATCTGTCAATTAAATACCAATAACATATCGGACGATATCATTAACAGGAGGTAACCGGCTAAAAGACAACATACAGATAAATAAAAATAATCCTGGAAATGTTGACCGTAATGACAATCTTGATTAGTACTGTCAAAAATTAACAAGGTTAAATGACAATTGTCGATTTCATTTTTTAAAAAACATTTAACATAAATTGCAACAATTCATATAAATCTGACAAATTAAATGGAACTAGCTTTCTACCAATTTCCAGTTGCAGTAAGTGTATAATCTATTTGCCCACAGTACTGTGTTACAGTATCTGATTTCTTGTATAAGTGACCAATACAAAGACAGTTGAGTAGTATAGGTTTGGAAGAAGAGTGTATATAGAATAAAAACAAATTAGCATATTGATGAATTTTAAAGCAATTCAACACTTGTTTAAATGAATCATGTAAGCGCTGCTTGGATTATTTTAAAAACAATTTCGTTTTATCAATGCGATTATCTAACCAAGCGTGACCAATATCAAAAGTCTAACCTAATTACTGTTCTGATGATATCTGTATAATTGCAACCTGTCGTTTCAAATGTAAATGTTACATATGTGCTCATGTATTTTGATATAGATAAGACATTAATTACGTGAATGACCGATTGTATGACGAACCCATAATGTGCAAGTTTTACAGCCGTGAAAGAATATGAACCTCGGCACGTCCGTGGTAATGAGTTGCTGAAGAAGCGATAATGTACTGATCAAGTTCATAACTTTTTTTTTCAAATCACGAAAAATATCGCTCGACGAGACCATCATTGTCCATACAGAAAAAAACATCCCCATAATAAAACGGCAATTGTCTAAGCATCTACATTTATATATAAAAGTCCGTGGTTTAATGTTTAATACATCATTTTTACATAATATGAAAATAAAATAAACAAAAACGTTAGCAAAATTGCTTTCGAAAACATAACACTGTGTCTCGTTACACTCTGAAACATGTTTTGATGCCTATATGATACTGTAATTTAAGATTTAGAAATACGGGCATCCTGGTGTTTATTTTGTAATGTTGAAGATGTACGAGTTGCCTCCCTTGATATGGTAACTTCACGATATTCGTCACCATTCATATCGGTTCGTCACTACTGTGCCTACAAAGGATGTACACTCTTGTATTTGAGATTGACATCTCCCAGAAGCCTCCCATAATGGCTAAAATCAGGTTAGTCCGTCAGGCGTCTTGGGCCTCACGGACACAGGTCGATGTGTCACTCCTAATCAGCTGCTGCCGATTTGTCGGGGCCTTGGAGAGGTTTAATATCACAAAATATGGAGAGATATACAGACACCTTTGACTTGGTCGTCCATCATGTCCTTCCTATTTCTTAACAAGTCTGTCTGTATGTCTTATCCAATTAGTGTGTATGATCAAGTAAGACAGTGTGTAAGTCCACTAAATATGTATGTCTTATCAAGTTGTATGTAGTATCAAGTTTGTATGTGTGTTTTATCAAGTTGTATGTAGTATCAAGTTTGTATGTTTGTCTTATCAAGTTGTATGTAGTATCAAGTTTGTATGTGTGTCTTATCAAGTTGTATGTAGTATCAAGTTTGTATGTGTGTCTTATCAAGTTGTATGTAGTATCAAGTTTGTATGTTTGTCTTATCAAGTTGTATTTAGTATCAAGTTTGTATGTTTGTCTTATCAAGCTGTATGTAGTATCAAGTTTGTATGTTTGTCATATCAAGTGAATCTTTCTTGTCCAATGAATGCGCGCGCTCTTGAATGTAATCGTATTACAGAATATCTGTCAATATTCATGTACAGCGAGAAATGTGTTTATGTTAATTTATGTTGATAACGAAAATAGTTTCCCGGCTTTAACTATGACTTTTCTAATAGTTTCTTACCTATAGCTTTGTGATATTACATATGTCTGTAACATAGATAAAGTTTCAGATTGTGTTATAAGATTGCTAAAAGTGATGAACACACCCACACAAAAAGAAAAAAACTGAAATACAGATTTGAAGTCTAGCGAATCCCTGCGGAGGTACTGGCAAAGGTACTCTGATAGGTCAATGAGGTGTTTCACTACACCATGGTAGTCTTGTTTGCCATTGGTTACGTGACATTTCAGTGTGTCATCTATTTCAATATGTGGTGTGGCATCATGGTCTGTAATTCGTTTCGTGGTATCGTGATATATTATGCGTTGCATTGCACCACGATCTGTAATGCGTTGTGTGGCACCACGATCTGTGATGCATTGCGTGACACCATAATCTGCAATGTGTTGTGTGTCACCACGATCTGTGATGCATTGCGTGACACCACGATCTGTAATGCGGTGTGTGGCACCACGATCTTCGATGTGTTTGCGGCATCACGATCTGTATTGCGTTGTATGGCACCATGATCTGTAATGCGGTGTGTGGCACCACGATCTGTAATGTGTTGTGTGGCACCACGATCTTCGATGCGTTGCGTGGTACCACGATCTGTCATTCGTCACGTTACCTTTTATTTCACAATGACACTATATCATACATGAAATAATTTATTGCTAATAAGCCATACTACACAAGATAATGCCATCTTTGGTCACATTTGTCTGTATAATTTAGATAAATGTATTTCGTTATGGTGTACGTTATCTGTGAAGCCACAATCTGTATGCGCGTGGATATATTAATAGTACGGTTATCCTTATGTTGACAGAAGGTTATGTAACTGACGTATGTTCGATATCACCTTATGCTGACAGGACAGAATAGCTAATGTAGAAGCAATGTTACCGGAAGGAGAAGGGAAGTAACTCTGTTGATTGTCTTGAACCTTGAAGTTAAAGGATAGCGAAGGCCATATATTGCACGAACCATAGATGGTATGGCGTATGTATAGATAAATGTCTCCGGAGAATTCTTGGCATTTTACCACTTCAAACAGAAAAAAGAACTTTTAATATGACTTAGATTTTGCTGACGTGTCGTGCTTAAATGTGAGAGCTCCACACTTCTGCGTTTGATCCAGAACAAGATAAATTCTCATATTAAAAGGAATTTTACTTGAATTTGTTATCAAACGTAAGTTCATAAATATTTCTAATTTGATAGACTGGATTATAAAATCAATGGACGAAATATCCCTGGTAGTTCGTAATACGGTGAAAATGGTGCGTGATACATGCGGTTGTCACGTTTTGTTTTTGTCTAGTGAGTGTCTCGATAAAGCTACAACATAACCCTGTTAAGATGTCTTTTTGAAACAGTTTAAGATTAACTTGTATTCGTCCGTCTTTTACATGTTTGTGTTATTACTTGGTGAATTACTTTGGACGACAGACACGGAACACTGGTGTTTGACGTTGGACAGACACGAACGCCTGGTGTTTCATGTTGAACAGACAGACTACTGCTGTTAGATGTTGGACAGACAGACTACTGGTGTTAGACGTTGGACAGACAGACTACATGTGATTGACGTTGGACAGACAGACTACTGGTGATTGACGTTGGACAGACAGACTACTGGTGTTTGACGTTGGACAGACAGACTACTGGTGTTAGACGTTGGACAGACAGACTACTGCTGTTAGATGTTGGCCAGACAGACTACTGGTGTTTGACGTTGGACAGATACGGACATCTGGTTTTTGATGTTGGACAACACGGACTACTTGCATTTAACGTTAACAGAAACGGACTACTAGTGTTTGAAGTTGGACAGACATGGCCACTGATGTTTGGCTTTGGACCGACACGGACGATTAGGGTTTGATACAAAAAGTTAGTAACATTTATTTACTTAATCTCGGTCCTGTATTTAACGGATACGCCGTGCCTTGCTCACAAGTCGGCTTTTCAACGCTGTGTCATGAATTTCCTGAAAGTTCCAGTCTCAGACATTGAATCTGGAGTATGTCTTTAATTAGATTCAAACGTTTTAACACTTACTCTTATGTAATTGTCACCTCTGTGAAATACGAGGAAGTGTTGAATGGGGAAAACGGAATACGACAGATATTAACATAAAATAGCGTTACCCTTTATCATACGAAACTATGATAAGGTTATGTCTTGGTCTGGTATAGGTAAGTCTGTTAACTGGCTACAGGACACACAATAATATTACAGGTGTGTTAAGCTTACAGGTGTGTTAGGGATACAGGTGTGATAAGT